CTTCCTGTTGTGGTGGACGTGTGTTCAACATGCAATAAATGTGGATAATACCAAGGAAGCACTTTTTGAAGGCAAGTTCCAGTATAAAACAATTAGTTGCATCACAAGTTATCCAGAGTTTCATGCAATTTCAGGTGTTTCATTTTTAACTTTCAACTTCTGTTGTAAGTTGATACCGCATGGCGAACAGAAAGAAAATCCTCCGCATTTCGTGACTCGGTGTTCTTTTAAGGTAAGGTTATTTTTAAGGCTACACGGTAGACTTTTAATAAGAGTATAATCTTAATCATATTAAAATCGGAGTATTGGTGTCTTAAGTAAATGTACTCAGAACGTCTGGTGAAGTCGCGAGCTGTCAAAGACAGGGCATTACTCTGCCTTTCAGCATGAGCCCTCCAAGTTTAGCGTGTTTCTTCATTAAACGCAACGAAAGCGTATGCTTCGCGTTGTTGTGTCAGAATCCTTGTGAAATACAGTAATACTTTAGGACGCTTAATTTAAGCAAATTTGATGAACGTGATCATGCGTGTTGAATCTGAGGAGAGTCGCTCCAGTATGGAAGGCCGTTGGGGCCAAAACGTCTGCAGCGCGTTGTGTGTCTGTCTGTGTGTATGTCTGTGTCAGGCCCGTTGAGGGGTGTCAGGGGTGGAGTGAGCGACGTATCCGAGTAGGGGCGAGAGGGGTGTGCAATGTATTTAACGACCGGTTTGCAAGAAATTATCATTCATTTGCGGGCATTTGGGAGTCTCTGTGCAATTGCGGGATAGTCCTAGTTTTAGCAACTGGATGAATGTAAAGGAGGATTGACAGCACTATATATATATATATATATATATATATATATATATATATATATATATATATATATATATATATATATATATATATATATATATATATATATATATATATATATATATATATATATATATATATATATATATATATATATATATATATATATATATATATATATATATATATATATATATATATATATATATATATATATATATATATATATATATATATATATATATATATATATATATATATATATATATATATATATATATATATATATATATATATATATATATATATATATATATATATATATATATATATATATATATATATATATATATATATATATATATATATATATATATATATATATATATATATATATATATATATATATATATATATATATATATATATATATATATATATATATATATATATATATATATATATATATATATATATATATAAATATATAATATATATATATATATATATATATATATATA